CGTCACATACGGTACACAAAGTATCCTGAGGGAAGAGTGAAAGTTCCACAACGCGGAGGTACAGTACTACAGTGTACAGTAGTCTCCAAACTTTGTACAGTGTTACACTGAGTAGTACATGTATATAATTTATAAATAAATAAATATACATATATTGTGGGGGTGTGCTCAAAAATTTTTTACTGACGGGTGTGCAATCAAAAGAGTTTGGAGACCACTGTTCTAACCAACCATTCAGCCTTTTTATTTGTGGGGGGAAAGGGAGCAGAGAAGAAAAGTTGAGTTGGAGGGAAGTTATTACAAAACACAGCAGGAATTTATAGCTTGCTGCAATGATATACGTTGTGCAGCTTTACATACCAGAATGCAAGAAAAAATGAGTTACTCAAAGAATCAGGATGAGACCCTTCACTGATGCCAAGAAACCTTTATGCATCTTGTGACAGATCAACTCATAAATGACTGAAGAGGGACTGTACATTTGGCAGATTTGCCTTACCATAGAATTTTAGAAACAGCTTGAATTTTTACTGACTAAAAAACTCTATTTTTTTCCTAATCTTCATAAATGCTGACACTCAGATCAGCAGTAAATTAGATGTCAAAGTATCTTGCCATACAGGAGGTTCCTAGGTAGAAAAGAAACTTCATGTTGCACATGAAGGGTGTGTGTGCTTGAAAGCTTGAAAAGACAATTTTTTTTGTTACTATTTAGTTGGTCTAATACAGGGATGGGCAATTATTTTGGGCGGAGGGCCGCTTACTGAATTTTTGGCAAGCCACCAAGGGCTGCATGAGAGGCAGCCAGGGGCAGATAAATATTAATTTTCTAAATTGTTTAGAGGCCACACGGGCCGGATAGAATGGCCTGATGGGCTGCATTTTGCCCACCCCTGGTCTAATAAAACATATCGCCTCTGACCCAAGAGTTTGTTTATCTTTATTTCTTAGACCAACACGGCTACAACATATATCCCTGCTTCGCCACATGGCAATCAGAGTTGTGAATAAATGTGTAAAAGCAATACCATGTTAAAGAGGAAAAAAAGGGCTGAACCTGAAGTCAGCATGCAGCAGACTATACAGAGCAAACCATTATGTAAAAGATTACGGTTCAGGAAGGATATGAGTGAGAAAGCAGAGATAAGTACTGAGCTGATACTTATCACTCTCAACATACAGCATATTGCTTAAACAAACAAAGTTCTCAACACACCGTTCAAGTTTACAGAGACCAAGTAAACAGAACCAGAAAGGAACTGAATCTAAAGAAACCTAGTGCAACAGGTTCAGAAATCTGTCACTGTCTAGCTCTCTTTAATGAACTGAAATCTGTAACAGTGAGTTTAGACTGGGAGTGTACAACACCATCTGTAGAATGTAGATTGGAAAATTGAGATTAATTGGCCACCACTGGAGCAATTAAAGGGAATAAGATTCAAATAATCAGACAACATTGCACAAAATCTGATGCACAGGAACAGAAAGGATATATATGCTACCAATACTGGTATTGAGTGGTGGATCCTACCCACTAGATGGAAGCTGGAACTCATGAGTGTGGTGTACTGTTTCCTTCTGCCCTATTGAACTATTCCTTTGCTTTCCTCTATAGTTCTCAATCCCTCTCCCATGCCATTTTGCAATGCCAGCAGCTTGAAGATGCTTACACAGCTTTGCATCCACACTGCAAGCCATTCCCACAGAATTCCCTCTGAATAGCACTCCATCTGATTATGGGATGTACACTTTTAGTTTTTATAATGTTAGAAAATAGTTGTGGATATTGAATAAATATATGTAAACAATGACGTTATCTGTGTAACAAAACCAGAATCACTGGTACAACAAAAAACAGCATGCCTCTTTGATCCTCTCAATTCTTGTACTTGGGAAATAATTTGGTCCAATGGTCTGAGCCCAGCTAACTCTGCAATGCTAATCCTAGCCGTGAATTGTGCCCTGCAGCAAGTCACTTTTACCCTTCCATCTAGGAAGCAGATTTCATAGGTACATTGTGCATTATTTGTAAAGCATTTTGAGTGTGCGCATGCTAAATTCTACATGTAGTAGACATGTAGAACCTCATTCCTTATTTCATAAGGAAAGAAAGCTCACATTTTAACAAGAATCTAATCTTTCATAGTATCTTGCTAGAGCAATCAGCTCTTGCAATTCTGTCATTGATTTTTCTGAGATGTGAAGATACATTGTGGGACTGGAATTAGAAATCTGACTTGTACTTATGACCATACAGAGCCTAAAAAACAAAAAAGAACGGCTAATTTTAAAATGAGTAAATAATGCCTTCTAAATACATTACAAATGCAGTACTCTGTTGCTTGTAATATACTTTATAAAAGTACTATTAACCATTGACCCTGTAAATATCAAGGTTCAAACCCTGAAGCAGGTTTGCTAGTGCTGTCATAAACCTGCATATTCTTGTTATCCTTACAAATCCCAATCTTTATTCTGAATCTTAAATTCTTTGCTTCAGTGATGCCCTGCAGCAATGAGTTGCACCAATTAGTTGCTCCATGTGTGGGGAGGAAAAAAAATCAACGTTGCCCTCTTAAATTCAACTAAATATCCCTTATCTTGTGTTAGAGGACAAGGAGAACTGAAATCCCAAGTAAACTTCTCTACAGCACTTAGTTTATTACATTCTTCATGTTACCTTATTCATCTCCTTTCTAAGGCAAATAATCCCAGTCTTTTCAATCTATCTGTGTCGAGTTTCTCCAGGCCTCTAATTCTGCTCATCATCCTTCTCCTTTTTCCAAGTTTATTTTTGATATGGAGCCACCAGTGATCCGGAGAGTATTCCAGGAGGCTATGTTAGGGTGCTCATCCATGTTACACCTCTCCTGTTACCGCGTTACAAAAATTGCCATTAAGCTAGCTAAATCGCATCCGTGTATCCACGTTATCAGCTGATTTTATAATTTTTTTCTTCGTATTAATTTAAAACACCACTTATTTTTAGCTCCTAAATTTCTTCCATGAGGGTTTATTTTTATCATTTTAAATTTGTAACGTGGATCTGACTTATGCCCTAAAACGTGATTTTTCCCTGCTTTGTAACTATTGCACCACCAGGTTCTGCTTGGGTTCACTTGTATATCCATGGAAATTCATCTAATTTTTATATAACCTTAGACCCTCAAAGTCATCCTGATTTTCACTATTATTGTCCACCCTGTTTCTCATGCAGTCTAATTTACTGTGCGTTCTTGTGACCCACGCTCCTCTCCGGGAATCTCTCAATTATCCCTGAAATCTCTCGCTATACTCAGTGGCCTCCACGATGGAGGCAGGCTTACAGGAAAACCTCGTTAGTTTGATATCAGATCACTTGAAATGTTGAATACTTTGAAGCTACCGTCAACAGGAAGGATAGGTTTTTGTATGCCTTATGATACGGATCATTCTAAAGACAGCTATTTTGAAACTGAGAGCCATTTTCCAGTCCTTTGAACCATAAACCCATGAAAACTCGTCTGGTGTACTTTCAAGTCTCAGAAGCACTTTGGGATCCGAGCAAGCATGTGTGCCATGGGAGGAGGCGCAGGCAGCACTTGCAGGTCTCGGTTGCGTGCCGAAAGACACCGCTGCTGCCGTGGACGAGCGGTTCACAAAAGCCATGGGTGAATCGAGGAATTTGCGCACAGTCGATGTAAGATGGTCAAGCTGACCACGAAAAATTCTCTTTCTTGAAGAAACAGGGAGAAAGATTTTGCTGTGCAGTGGTTTTGTGTAATAAATAGAGTTATTTGGGTTATTCAAACCCAATTTCCGAGTCGGTGTGTTTTGGCGCCCTGTGTTTGGCATGAAGGAGGTTTTCCCGTACGTTTTTATCGGTGGGCTGGGGCCTGGCATTCTCCTGCCCGGTAATATGCCTGTTGGCTCTTCTGCCCCTGGCGACGCTGTGCCGAGGTACACCAGGGCTTTGTATCCACAGCAGGAAAGGCTAATTTGCTATCCTGCTCTGCGTGCCCGCCGCCAAACGTGCCGTACGGTGCCTGGATCGAAGCCGAGCGTTGTTGGCGCCACCTGGGCCCAGCAACCCCTCTCCAAAGGGCAGGGCAGGGGGCAAGGAGCTCCCCTTTCTCCTAGATCAGTGTCCAGCCCCAGGGGCAAGGCGCAGGCAGCTGCTCTTCTCTTGCTACGGGCTGTATCAGCTTATTGGGAGCTTCTGGGCGCAACAACTGCCACAGCCCACTCTGCTGAAGGGGGGGGGGCCCAGCTCGCTGCTTTGCCCCACACCTCTGCACACCCAACACAGCCCGCCCGGCCCAGGGCTGCCGCTCCCCTCCCGTCTGAGAGAACAGTTACAATAAAAATCCCACCCGCGCCAACCCTCAGCCTTCCCGCTAAGATGGCAGCCCGCGAGCAGGGACGAGATCTCGCAGGAACACCCAGCAGTTCCCGCGAGAGGACGGCACGCAGAAGGGTCCAGGAGTGATGTAGAAGAGGACCACCCCCCCCAACAGTGACTTGAGGGCCGAGATCTTGCGAGAACGAATCCGGAAGTGGCTTGGAGTGAGGTGAAAGCTAACGGTGACTGAGACGAGGTCTCGCGAGAACATCTGGCAGCTCTCGCGAGAGGCCGGAATGCGGAAGAGTGAGGTGGAAAACAACCGCTCTCCCAACGGTGACTAAGGGCAGCAATCTCGCGAGAACTTCGAGCAGCTCTCGCGAGAGACCGAAACGCGAAAGTGGCCCTGAGTGAGGTAGCAACCAACCGCTCTCCCAACGGTGACGAGATCTCGCGAGAACATCCGGCAGCTCTCGCGAGAGGCCGGAACGCGGAAGTGGCCGGTTGTGAGGTGGACGCGGCTGAGGGGGAGCGAGC